CATATATATATATATATATATATATACATACCTGTTTGACTTCTTTTTCTTTCGTTACAAGTATTTCTGCTGCTTGAATACGTTGTTCATTAACAAAATTAAGTTTTTCTTTAATATGACTAAGAATTTGAACAGTTGTACTAATTTTTTTACGAAGTTTCATTAATTCCTTTATGTTGTTTTTTTCAAAATAGAAATAATATTTAAAAACAATTAGAAAAAAATTGATTTACTTCATTTCTTTCTTCAATTTTTTCACTATATGTTTGATTTTCAATTTTTAATTGTTCAAAGTCAATCATATGAAGTCCTTCAGCTAATTCTTCTTTAGATTTTAATTGTAATTCACGTTTTCTTAATTGATTTTTTAAACGAATATTTTCATGACGTGTCTAAAACAAAAAGAACAAAAAAAAATTATTTTTTTCTTCATTCCATTTTAAATATAAATCATATAATTCTATCATACTTTTATTAATTCTTCTTCTTTTTCTCTTAATGATGTTAAATAATTTTCCACTTCCTAAAAAATAAAAAAAAACAAACAAATATATATTAATTTAATGTTCGAATTAAAATATAAATTGATTTCGAAAGAGACAAGCACTGCAAAGGTTTGTAAGAAGTATATTTATAATAAGCTAAGGAGAAAAATACCCACAAGAGAAAAATTTCTTGGCGGTGAACGCCAATCCTGTATTAAATGTTATATCAAGATTTATACAACAATTCAATGAATTCTTTTGATTATCCAATCAAATACCTGATTTGAAATAGATTTTCCACTACGAGCAAAAACAGCTTTTGATGCAATCTCTCGAACTAATTTAACATAATCAGCTTTTAATTGTTCAACATGTTCTTTTTTCCTTTGAATTAGTTGTTCATAATTATTTCGTTTTGATTCATATTCAATTTGATCATGTTTTATATGATCTTGTAATGTTTCAATTTCACTAAGATATTTTTGATAACGTTGTTGTTGTTCAAGCATTAAGCGTTCATTGCCTTGATTGAATGCTGGTAATTCATCGGTACCCTAATGAATTTTAAATATGATTATTAATAGAAAATTTATCATTTGTGTTTGTTTTTAGAAATACTTTTCGTTTATGTAAATAATCAGCTAAACGTTGTTGTAATGCTAAATTAATACTTTTTAAACGATCACGTTCAACTTCAGCATTCTTTTAAAATAAAGAATAAGATTCAATTTTTTAAAATCGAAATTAACAAACTTGATAACGAGCTAAAAGTTCTTCACGACTTATTCGTATTTCAGGTTCTTCATGAACTATATCATGTTCTTCTTCTAGTTCTAATTTTTCAAAATCTCTATAAAAAAAGAAATGTATCATTTTTTTCTTCTATTTCAAAGAATAATTAGAGTACATACACTTGTGGTATTTCTCGTTGACCTTTAGCTGAACGATCACGACCAGATTTAGCTGATCGACGTTGTTCATCCGAAGGTATCTATACATTAAAATACAGATGTATGATATGATTAGAGAAAAATTGAACTCATTACTAACAGGTGTTATTTCATCTGGTTTAATATCTTCTGTTGATATAACCTGTGAAGTAGCAATCAATGATTCTTCTGCTGGTGATATAGGTGATTCGATAACTGTTGTTAAAGGTTTTTCAACATCGGATATTACTGCTGATTCATCAATCGCACTTTCTTCTTCTTTAAGACCTGCTAAAGTTCCTTCTTCATCTAATTGTCCTTGTATTTCATTTTCTGCATCAATTGCTTGTTGTGTACCATCTTCAACTTCATCACCAGTAATAGGTGTTTCAATAGATGATGGTTTGTCATATTCAGCGAATTGAGTTTCTCCTGTTGGTATATCACCACTAATAGCAACTATTTCATTTTCTATTGTTGGTGTTTGTCCATAACCAACACCTTCATCTTCACGTGGTTGTAATTCTGCAGCTGTTGTTGTTGTATCATGAATCGGTGGTGGTTGTTGTTGTTGTTGTGCACCCGTATGTGGAAAACGAGTTCCTTCAGTAACTTGTTCAAGTCCTTCATTTTCTTCATCACCTTCGGGAATAGTTGGTGGTTGATGCATTTTAGAAAATCTACAAACATGAAGTTGATTGATGGAACATGTATAAATTTATATTTAGTTTTTTCTTTTTATTTTGCTTCGTTTTTCCAATTAAAAATTTTATAATCATAAACAAAAGAAGATATTATATTTTGTTAAGTTTATTTGGCAAAGTGAATTACAATAACATTCTTTTCTTTTTTTTTTCTTTGTAATTTTGTTTTATTTTATTTTTTTGATGCAAAAATATATATTATTTCTTTTACTTCTGCACTTATCTGTCAATTGACGAGAACCAAAAACGGGTGACTCTTTCTTTCTGTTCTATTCAACGGAGTCTTTTCATTCCACAAGAAAAAACAACAGAATCAATATTCGATACCCTTCTTGTATTCGTGCATAGAAAATAAATTATAGTCAAACAACGTCATCTTTTACTAGTTTGAATAATACAGTTAAGATAAGAACAAACTTAATATTTTATTGCGGACATTAATCAATAAACAAAAAAGAAATAATTTGTAGAAATGTAAGTAGAATATCGATTGTTGTTATCATGCATAAGAATAAAGATCAAAATAAAATAATTGATTTAAAATAGACAACGAAAATATTTTCTTTTTTAAATGATACAATGGTAGACAAAATTTTTCGAACGATTTTGTTTTAAATGTAACCTCATTGATACGCAGTTTTTGTCAATTGTACAATCATTGTCTGTAGTATATCTACACAAAACTGCAACTCAGACAGTTGAGTTCGTGGTAGTCGGAAGCGGTCAACATTGCGCGGAGGGGACTACATCTCTCCTGGTCAGGGCATCGCTACAGTCCTGCACCGAGTTAACTAAATTTTTTGTCGAAATTCAGTTTTAACGTATGAAATTTTTTGAATGGTAGATTTTGTTCTCTGATATTTACTGTACAAAATGATGCATTTTGAAGGTTTCAACGACGTCTTATCAAGGCTTATGGCCATGAATGGAAGTCGGAGTTGAATTTGACTCCGAGGTTGTTTCGTGAGCGGATGTCTCTATAAGACATTGTTGAAATCTTCAAAATTCATCAGTTTGTAGAGTAAATATCAAAGAACAAAACCTACTATTCAAAAAAAAGTTCCTATGCTAAAACTGAGATTTCGGCAAAAAATTTAGTTAACCCTTAAAAGCCGGAAGGCCTTATCGTTGCAATTTGAACAAATTATTCGCTAAAACAGACGGTCTAGTATCTCAATAAGAATTATTGATAGTAACAACAACAAAAAAAATTTTTTCTTACAGAGATATAAAATGTCCCTTGGAAGGGACATTCGGTCGTAACGGTCCAAATTTTTTCAGTGTTGTCAATTTATGTAAAATCAATTTTTTCTTTAGAATATCTCTATTTATATGTTTCTTATTATTCAAGAAACTAATTCAAGCGATATTTTACAATTTTTCAAAATTTAAACACTATTCGTTTCAATGTAAGTCTCGCTCATGGGGTTATCCAAGTGTGGCGTAGCCAATATGAGTGAAGAAAACAACGATCATTTTACGCTTGTGCTTGTAGTTTTACTGCATCAAGAAACAGTTATCGAATGCTTTATTAGAGCAGAATCAGAACTATCGCAAGGGATTTAAAAGCGACCAAGGTCGGCTTTTTCATTGAGAACAGCCAAAGTCATGTGGAAATCATGGATAATTTTCGATAATCAGATGAGAAAGTAGCCTTCTCTTGATTCCTTCTGTACAACAGTATTTAGTAGAATCAAAAATAAACGAAAAGTCGCTCGCACACTATTCATACATTGTAAAAACTTGTCGGCCCGTTAAGACCGAATGTCCCTTCCAAGGGACATTTTCTTCTTGCTATCACTATGTATCAACAGGTAACTTAAAAATTTAGGGAACAGTTTCATTCGATAGCTTGCCTTTGTGCCTCTCAGAAAAGCCAAAATTCACTCTAATTCACGCTATATTTACGAACAGGCAAACTTTGCAAAATACAAAATTGCATTGAAAAAATTTATGCGTTTTCCAAAACCTGCTGCACCCCCTGACAATCGATTTTAAGAAATTTCTTTTTCGCTCTATACTCTATTAGGTCCTCAAAGTCCAAAATAATATTGGTCCTTGCCTAAACGATTTTATTACATCTTCCATAGCGTTTTTTCCAATGCCCCTTGGAAGGGAAATTCGGCTCTTAAGGGTTAAGTCATACTTGAACGGAACTTTTAACAGATTGAACTAACCACTTTTTTTGTCCGCGAAAAATATTTTTCTCTGAAAACAGAACGCATACGAATGAATATAAGAAAATACGAGCTACATTTTGACACATGAAACTTTTTAAAGGAAAGTTTTCTATAAAACAACCCCCTACTTGACAATAGATTCGCATTTACGTGAGAAACCTACGACATTAGATCATTGGAATAATGCTCGTCAAACCAGCGATAATCTTAAAAATCATCTTCAAGAATATTATCCTAATGATATAATGTCGTAGTTCAAAAGAAACATTTTCTCACGTGAATACGAATCCACCGTAAAGCAAGCAAGTTGCTTCATAGAAAGTTTTTCGGTTTCAGAGAGAAATTATTTTCATTAATGAAAAAGTGATTACCTCGAACTGTTATAAGTCAAGGTCAAGTAAGACTCAATTCACTGATTGCTCGACCGAGGGAAATGTAACTCCCTCCACCCAATGTTGACCGCTTCTGACTACTACTAACTCAACTTTCTGAGTTGAAGTTTTATATGGATATACTATAGACAATGATTGTACAATTGGCAAAAACTGTGCGTTAAAAGGCAACTTCTTAATGAAGTTACACTTAACAGAAAATCGTACGAAAAATTTTGTCTATGACAATATTTTCAAGATTTCTATGAAAGATTTTATAGGTACACTAACTTCTTGTATTTATAGTTATGTCGATTATTGAGATTTGATAATGAACGAATCAATAAGTAGTAATAGTCGTCTTCGTCCACGGGCACAATCTCTTTTTGAAAGTCGTTCACGAACTATCAGTGGAATAACGGTTGCTTTACTCGAGAAATTTATTTCACCTCAAGATACAACTAATCCTTCTAATGAAACTATTGATTCATCTGATCAATATAATATGGTTATTCGAACCGGTATACGACGCACAATATTTTTTATATGTCAACCTATTATAGCTGGATTTCTTATTTTTCCATTATTAATACTTTTTTGGCAAGCTGGATGGAATTTTATGGTTGTATGGATTGATACTCCTATTGGTGCACATTGGATAGTATTAGTTATGCTTTATTTCTTCGCTCAATTAATCTTTCTTTTTATCTATTTAAATCAAGATCATCTATATGATTATCTTCATAAACAGAAAATCAAATTATTCATTTCTATTATTTTACAATTTCATACTTTCATTATTTCTACAACTTATATAATACAATGGGTATCAATGTGGACAATATGGGATCGTTATACACCTACTGATTGGCTACTTATGCTTATAGTTAGTATAGTAGCTTTATCTGCTGTTATTGCTTTAATTGGACATCCATGTGACCTTGTCTGTGCTCCATTTATACTTAGTTATGATTCAATTGAATATAATATTCGAATTGGATCACTATTTTTAACAGAAAACGTAATTGATATTCCTTATTTAAAAAACAAAAACAAAAAAAAAACGAAGCCTAATTCTTTTCTTATTTTAGATAAATGAATATCTTGCTCATTTTCTTAATTATATTTTTTATGAATATATTATATCACTTTTATCTATCTTAGCATGGCGTGGTTCCTATACATTACTTGATGTTTTTCTTTTTCCAAAAAATCCTTTTATGTCAGCTAGTTCAAGTCTTTTTATTGGTTATCCATTATATTTTTTACTTATGTACACTCAATCTTATACAAGTGAAATTTGTCAATTACCAATATTTTCCTATTTCAATTATTCATCTGTAATATATAATATTCGTCATCTAACGGCTTTTTTTACATGTGTTTTATTATGGAGAGGTTTTTGGCTTTTATTCGATACATATATTGCTACAATGACATTAGCATTAAAATCTCCTTATTTATTTTATATAATATGTATGTTTATATCATTTTTCATTTTAAGTCTTTTAAAAACTGCATCGTCTATCAATGGTCCTATGTCACATATGAGGGATCAATATGATCTATTTCCTGATTATCCAAATAGTTATTTAGTTCAATGGTATAATCAAATGAAAACATCAGATGATATATCATCAATTTCAAGTAAAAATATAAAGAATGAACCATGTACTGTTGCACTTCTCTAATAAAGCAAAACACAAGAAGAGTTTATTAGATTTTTGTTTTTCGTTTTTTTTTTTATAAATATATTTATATAAATATATCTACAAGATTTAGTTGTTTTTTTTAACTCATTTTTTATGCTCACTATCCGGTTGAGAAAGAGCAATTGTTGTTTCACGTTCAAAACTTAGTTCACCTTCGACCATAGGTAAAATACGTAATGAACCATTAGTTGGTACATTTGCTTGCATTGATACATGTCTTGATTCAGTTAAACTTGAATTTGTTCGATCATCAATATCACGAATTTGTTGATATTGAATTGGTTTATCTAATCATGAAGACAAAAAAACGATTTTTTTTTCTATTTTAGCTTAAAAAATTATCTTTAAAAAATTGAATTTTATGTCATTTGAATAGTATTGCCAGCTTTTAATACTCAAAAGGTTTTGTTTTAATTGTTTGCTATTCATCTATTTTTATAACTTTTAATAATTCTTGATTTGATAGGATCATAATTCAATATAATTTTACACGTCTTTTTTCATACTCTGTATCTTCACTGAGAAAAATTTTCTAATCCTTACACTACCCTGTAGAAGCTCTACTAGAGTTATGCGGGATAGTCCCAACTCCCAAAAAATCCTGTTTGTCCCATCCCTCGGAATGGAGCAATAGAGAATAAAATCCAACGTCCTAAATCTTTTTTAATCCTTATATCAAAATGTGTCACATACTTTAAATTTTTTATTTCTAATAAATATCATAATACTTAAATAAATAACAGAAAAAAGAATTTGAACACCACTCAAGTAGAAAAGACGGCCGACTGCACGAACCTGATCCTATACGACATCTGCTATTTTTAAATCTTAGACTTTCGCAGAGGAAATCTTTATGAACTTCAGTCTCGTTCAGCTATCTTGGCTCAACCGACAAGTTAAGAGATAATGAATCTAAACCAACTATAACCATATAAGGAAACTATCACCTGTTAATTATTGTTATAGTCTCAGAAAGGAATCAAACTTTAAAAAAAACCTGGATTTCAGATATACACTCATCATATTCTTACGATCTCGGCAAACTTTTTCTCATTTCAAAATCATGGTTAGGTGTAGAGAATGAATGGCTAATGCGTCGAGAAGATGAATTTGCCATGATAGCTAGGCGAGTGGAAAGACATAAGTTGACTACTGCAGTTTATGCAGTTAACTGCCTTTCAATCAGCGAGACAAACGGGATTATGGACACAAAAAAGTTTGACCCGTAGAAGTTCTACCCTTGCCCTACCATAGAATTAAGTTTAAACAACAGAGTAAACGACTGTAACAATTGCTGAAAATCGTTGTAATTGCTAAATCCCTATTTCTAACTTTAAGTTGTACCATTTATAATTGATTTGGATATGAGCAAAAGAAATGACTTAGAGCTTTACTTCATGATTAACGATGATATCAAGTGAAACTTAGAAACGTATAGTTTATTTTAAAATAGTCTTGATAGTGATTATGTAATCGATCGAATTCAACTAATTTGATTTCGGATATATAAAAGAGAAATTAAAAAACTAAATTTTCAAACAAAATAAGAATATTTTAAAGACAGAATTCATTAAAACTTGTTTTATTTCAATCATATCGAACTATTCTATTTTACTAGACGCCACATATCTATCGTCGTTTCCGAATATCTGATCAAATGTCAAGATCATGGGTCGAACCAGAAATAAAACAAACATGAAGTACGACTTCGACTAATATAGCAGAAGTTTTGACAGCTTAAATAACTGCAATAATTGAATTTTTTTATTGAGACAAAAAAAAATTATTGCATAGTTTATAGTTAAACCTTGAAATCTAGTCATTAATAATATCTCCGATTATTGTGTTAACCGTCAAGTTCTTCTCAAAATTAAGTTGAACAACTATTGAATCAACGAAAAAATTTACAACAAACTATTATTGATTTATGTCATTGGGTCAAATTTATATACTCTTCGTTGTTACCTTTAATAACAATGAGTTACCTGAAATGAAGAATATGATCGTTGAAAAACGAATCCTATTTTCATATTTTCTGCTCAATTATTATTTAGTTCAAAATTCGTCAGAATATATTAAATTTTAAACTACATACCAATAATAATATTTGATGAACCACTTGTACCAATTGTTCTCCAATCAAGTAAATATTCATCATAATTAAGATTATGTGTCCATTCAAGTAATTCATTAACTTCCCAATCTTCAACAGCTTCTGCACCATATGTATTAAAGATTCTTAATATACTTGCTGTTGTTTCATTGATAAGTCGAGACATTTCTTTTTCATTTTCATTTTCTTTCAATTCAACATTCTTATCTGTATTAAGCATACCAGCTTTATACCTATTTGAATAAAAATTATCTCAAAAAAAAAACAACGACGAAAAAGAATATATCACACATTTTTTTAAGCCATTCTAATTTTTTTTGTCTTCGTCTTTGTTCAATATCTTGTCGTCGCTGCATCTACTAAGAATAAATCAAAGATTTTGTTAATATTATATTTGAGATAAAAAGAAAAATTTCTTTTTTTGCTCATACTTTCGAATGTGAAAATGAAATAGATTTTTTAAAATTATTTGAACTAAAATATTCATCTATATTAACTTGTAATAAGTGTGTATAAGCAACTGGTCTCCAACCATTATTTTCTATTCGACGATACCATCCTTCTTGATCTATGATAATTATTAAATTCATAATAACAACAACAAAAAAAACAAGACAACGCATGAAGATTCCAAGAATACAAACCTTGTTGTGGAAATCGATTTAATTTATTATTCGAATCAACTGCACTTTTTAATCTTAAATACGGACGGGTATAATCTCTTGGAGCATTAGCACATAAATCTTGTATAGGTCGATTTGTAAAAATTTTATAATAGATTGTCGGTGGAAAACGTTCACCAGCTAAACGGAAACGTATACGAACACCAGCTGCTGAATCTATATATTTTGATTCTATTGGATTTATTGTACGCATTAAAATTTGTGGATCACCATTATTATGAAAATGAATTAGATCACGATAGAAACGGAATACTTGTACGTCCTAAACACAAAAAAAACAACTTTTTTTTCTTATCTTAAAAACAATTTATTCATATACAATATAGCGACGCCATAATCGTTGAATTTTTCGAAGTCCTTGTATTTGTTTTTCTGTATATTCCTGTGACATGTCTCGAGCAAATGAATACATAATATGAAAAAAATGAGACCATTATTACATGACGTTGCTAAGGAAATACCTTTAACATAAATGTTTATATGATACTATGTGATTTTTTCATTGGTTCAATATTTGAATCGAATAAAAATTCGCAGAAATAATAAATAATTAAAAGACATGAAAGATTTTTGGTCAAAATGGAAAAATATGATTGGTTAAAATGAATCGAAACCAGAAAACCAATTATACTATTTGATTTTTGTTTTTTTTGCTGAAAACTTTCAAATTTTCGATCTTTTTACTATAATCCAATTCGTAGATGGCATTTGTCAACAGTTCTCGTTTTTTTTAACAACACATTCCGTCACTTTATTTAAAACATTGTATTAAATTTAGTTTCAATAGATAAATCAATGTCATGTTTAATCGATTGGTTCAAAAATTAAATAATAACATAAAAAAAGTAAGTAAAATTAATTTTATAATGTGATAATAAAAAATTTAGTACTTATACGTATATCTACTACAGGTGCTCACCAGTAACTAATTGAACTATGCAACATAGATACTAAAATCATTGTTTGAATAGAGATAGTATTGCTTCGATCACAAAAAGTTCCACGAGATTCGATGATGTCTTTTTTGATTTTCCAGGAAATTCAAATGAATTTCCTAAATCATGTTTAAGTTTCTGCTAATGGTGAGAAGGAAAATATAGTGGTAATGGAGATAGACACTGCAATCCAAATACTAGAGTTAATTCGTGTAGTGAGAGTAAACAGCTAGTGTTATGCTTTAATATCGGCTAAAATGCATTATCAAAAGTAGCAGTAAAACTAAACGATTAACGAGATGAATCCAAAGTTACCGAAAGTTTTGCAATAAATTCAAGAATCCCACTCCATAAAGATGTCACGGAATTTCGACACACTGATCTACATATATCTTGAGGACATTTCGCTAGATAAGAGTGTCTCGGAATTCACTACCTCTTTTATTTCTCCTAGTAAAAATTCCAGCAATATCTTGGAAATTTCTAAAAAGCATTTAATCTTCAATGAATATATATATGAATGTGATCAGTCAACTTGACATTCCTATTTTTATTCTTTTATGAAGCTTCAGGTAGATATAAGATAAATGTGATTTTTTTACTGGTGATATTACACATATCATGGGGTAGACATAGCGATGTGCAGTATTGGTGTAAATACTGAACAGTGAGTCGTCGATATAGGGTTCACTGGGGCACTGATTACAACACCATCGGACTTCGCTGAGGTATTGACTACGATGATAATCGTGTTCGCTGCAACATTGAAACACTAGCTCTATCAAAGTATGCCTTTTTTTGTGGTGGTACGTTCCAATGTTTCAGTGAATATTGGTACCAGTGTGTGCACTAACTATACTGAGTCAGTGTCTAGATAGATAAGGATTTCTGAAAACACATTTAAACACCTTAATCACAGTTCTCGTTTGAACATTTTCACGTCCAATCAGAAAACACCAAAACCAGCTATTCTCATCATGAAAGATACGTAAAGACGCTTTAAAAGGCAACTTTAACAGATGGAAAATGTTCCAAAATTTTTCTCATTAGATATTTAACATACATCATGCATAAAAAAAAGTCATTTTTGTTATTAAAATCTTCCGGAAGAAAATGTTTGCATATTTTTCACATACTAACGCTGCATATTTAAGCGCCTTCGCACATCTATCATGATATACGTTTTTAGAAATTTTGGTCTGCTTGAGTGATTAGTAAACTAAAACTGCACGTCTCGACAACCGGTAT